CACTTGCAATAAAATTCACATAATCTGCATACGACGGGGCTTCACTCGAGGTGATTGCTAATAACTGCTCATCAGGAAATGCTTATTTGATTAACCCCTCCTCATCTACATGGTTCCAATTTTTCTAATGTGGACAAGTGATCAACCACTTAATTCTTGGTTCCTTTTCGATCTCGAATCTCCAAGTCAAATTCTTGCAAGAGGAGGACCCAACGAATCAGCCTCGGCTTGGCGTCTTTCTTTTCAAACAAGTATCTAATAACTGAATGATATGTGGAGACAATGACCTTGGTTCCGACTAGATATGATCTGAACTTGTCAAAAGCCCACACCACTGCAAACAACTCTTTATCAGTAACAGCGTAATTCATCTGGGCCGGATTCAGAGTTTTGCTCGCGTAATAAATGGATTAAAAAACTTTATCCATCCTTTGGCCCAAAACAGCTTCGATTTCTATGTCACTCGCATCACACATCAACTCAAACGGTTGCACCCAATCCGGGGAGATGATAATTGGTGCTGTCACTATTCTTCCCTTCAGCTCCTCAAATGCTTTTGGACATGCATCATCAAACTTGAAGGGGGTATCTTTCTCAAGAAGCCTGCACAAAGGAGAAGAAATTTTTGAACGACGATAAAAACCTGCATGGCCTAATAAACTGCGAATGCCTTTGACGGATGTCGGTGGGGGCAATTTTTCAATCGCTTCCACATTTGCTTTATCCACCTACAAACCAATTTTGGACACGTTTTGCCCCAAGACTGTACCTTCACGTACCATGAAATGGCACTTTTCCCAGTTTAGCACCACGTTCGTCTCGTCATACCTAGTAAGCACTTTATTAAGGTTCATTAAACAATTATAAAAAAAACACCAAAACACAGAAAAATCATCATGAACACTTCTACAAATCTTTCAACCATGTCAGTAAAAATAGCCATCATACACCTTTGAAAAGTTGTATGTGCATTACAGAGACCAAATGGCATTCTTTTGAACGCATACGTGCAATAGGGACACGTAAATATGGTTTTCTCTTGATCCTCTGGGGCTATATCAATCTGATTATGCCCCAAATAACCATCTAGGAAACAATACTATTCCTGGCCAGCTAATCTATCGAGAATTTGGTCAATAAAGGGGAGGAGGAAGTGATCCTTTCAAGTGGCATTGTTCAATTTTCTATATTCTATGCAAATTCTCCACCTAGTGACAGTTCCTGTGGGAATCTGTCACGACCCAATTCCCAACCCGACCGTGATGGCGCCTCTCGTGAAGACAAGTCCAGTCGGAACAACGCAAACACCTCTTTTAAACAACTAATTAACATTAATAAATCCAAAACATGTGTAAGATAGTCATAAATGCGGAAACAGCGATAATAACAGGGGAAACCATCCCGACACAGCCCAAATCGGGGTGTCACAAGTCATGAGCTACTACAGATTTTGCTATAATTCTACAAAGTATGATATCCGAAACAATAGTCTGAAGAAATATAAATGATGGAAGATAGGGGAGACAAGGGGTTGCGGACGTCAATAGCAACCTCGTAACTCCAACTCGCTGCCTGGTCTGGAAGGAATCAGCGCTCAGGTGCGGACTCTGTTATGCCTGAATCTGCACACATGGTGCAGGGAGTAATGTGAGTACTCCGACCCAGTGAGCAATAATAATAAATAATAACTGAAGGCATGAAAACACATAAATGCACAAGGCAATTCTATATCAGGCAGTAAATCACTTAAAGCAGTAGAACCGTAAAGAATCAAATGAAATCTCCTTTTTAAAATAGGTAAATCAGGTAAAACAACAAGTAAATAGTGAGTAGTAATCTGCCCCTCGGGCCCAGTATCAATCACTCAGAATAGTATCAGCCCCTCGGGCTCAGTATCAGTCACTCAGCATAGTATCAGCCCCTCGGGCTCACTCTCAGTCACTCAGCATAGTATCAGCCCCTTGCCTCACTCTTAGTCACTCAGCATAGTATCAGCCCCTCGGGCTCACTCTCAAATCATATGGTACCCGCGCTCACTATGGGCGTGCAGACTCCGGAGGGGCCCCTTACGGCCCAAGCGCTATATCAAGCCACCTCGTGGCATCATCACTCGACACTCGGCCTCACATCACTCGGCCTCCCATCACTCAAGCCACCTCGTGGAATATCAAGCATCTCATATCACTCAGCATATCCTCACATATGGCCCTCGGCCTCACTCAGTCCAGAAATCATCACAAGCCCCTTGGGCATCAGTAAAATAGTAGTGCTCAGCCCAAACAACAGTGGAAATATCATTTAAGTCTCAAAAATTCAATTAAAGCGGCTGAGTTTGTAAAACAGTATAAACAATAGGACTGAGTTCTAGTAATATATCAAAATAGTGAGGAAACAGTGATAAAAGTCCACGGAGGATTCAAGTAGTCGGCATGAAGCCCAAAATATGGCAATAATCCCAAATCATGTTGATAACAACACATTTCAGTCAAATACGCGGTAAAAACATAAATCGGGACGGACCAAGTCACAAATCCCCAATAGTAAACAATCCCGCGCTCGCCATTAAGCGCGTGTTTCACCTCAATATAGCACTATGTTGTGCAAATCCGGGGTTTCAAACCCTTAGGATATCATTTACTATCATTACTCACCTCAAGCCGGCCAAAATCCTAGCTCGCTATGCCCTTGCCTCTCAAATCGGCCTCCTCGCGCGTCAAATCTGACCAAAACCACAACGAATACGTCACAATAGGCTAAGGGAGCATAACCCAATCGAAAAGAATCGAAAAATAGCAAAAATCTCGAAATTTGCAAACCCGAGCCCCGGGCCCACTTCTCGAAATTCAGAAAATTTTACATCAACGGATTTCTTATCTCGCCACGAGTCCATACATACCAAGAACTCCCAAATCCGAGCTCAAATGACCCATCAAAACCCAATTTGAAATATCAAAACTCAAGCCCTAGTTCTTCCCCCTTTTGATAAATTTTCATGAATTTCTAGGTTGATTCTACAATTAAGTCATGTTTTTAAACCATAAGACTCACCTCCAATCAATCCCAGTCGAAACCCTCTTCAATTCCCGTCCAAAAGCTCTCAAGGATGCTCAACAATGGTGGAAAAATAACTTAGCTCGCGGAACAAAAATGAATTTAAAACCCTTATGTCCAGCCATTACGGCATATACGGTCAAAATACCGCATCTGCGGCTTCCGCTTCTGCGGAAATCTTCCGCTTCTGCGGAGTTTCACTTAAATGCCAAGACCGCTTCTGCGGTCAAAATCCGCATCTGCGGACTCCGCTTCTACGGACTACTATCCGCTCCTGCGCAAATTCCCTGAGGTCCAAGTCCGCTTCTGCGATGCCATCACCTCATCTGCGATACCGCAGATGCGGCTCCTCCTCCGCATCTGCGGAAACCAGCCTCCAAGCCCATTTTCGCACCTGCGACCTCCTTCCCACAAGTCCAAAACTCATCCCGATAGCCATCCGAAATCACCCCGAGGCCCCCGGAACCTCAACCAAAAGTGCCAACCCATCCTAAAACATCGTTCAAACTTGCTCCAATCATCAAAACACCTCAAACAACACCAAAACCATCAAATTACATTGGATTCAAGCCTAAGTTCTTCTAAAACTTCCGAAACTCGCATCCGATCAAAAACCCGACCAAAACACCTCCGAATGACCTGAAATTTTGTACACACAACCCAAATCACCTAACGAAGCTGCAACAACTCTCGGAATTCCATTCCGACCCTCGGATCAAAATCTCACCTATCAACCGGAATTCGCCAAAATACTAACTTCGCCAATTCAAGCCTAATTCCACACCGGACCTCCAAAATCACTTCCGATCACGCTCCTAAGTCACAAATCATCCCCCGAAGCTAATCAAATCACCGGAATTCACCTTCGAGCCTTTTATCTCATAAGTCAACATCCGGATGACTTTTCCAAACCAAACCTTCCTTAAAGAGACTAAGTGTCTCATTTCCTACCAAAACCCCTCCAAACCAACTCGATCACATAAGATACGGATAATGAAGCATAAAAAAGCTGAAAATGGGGGAAACGAAGTTGTAACTCATGAGACGACGGGTTAGGTCGTCACAGAATCAAGTCATTATTCTCATTAACCACTACAGTCATCCCCCCTTTCATAGGAACACACTAGACGAGGCTTACCCATTTGCTATCAGAGATTGGAAATACAATACCTGCATCAAGCCACTTAATCACTTCTTTTCTTATCACCTCTTTCATTATTGAATTTAGGCAGCGTTGTCGCTCTACACTTGGCTTGTGTCCGTCCTCCATGAGGATTTTATGCATGCAGAAAGCTGGACTAATGCATCTAATGTCATACATCGTCCACCCAATTGCTCGGTTGTGCTCACGTAGCACTCTCAACAGCTTTTCTTCCTGCAATTTATACAAGTAAGAAGAAACAATAACAAGTAAAGTGTCAGAACCACCCAGATAAGCATGTTGAAGGTGATGAGGCAGGGGTTTAAGATCCAATATTGGAGCTTCTTCAATCGGCTTCTTTGGAGGAGGCCCACTTGGCCTATTTAGGGGCTCAAAGGGGTGTATTCCTTGTATGTAAGCACAAGATGCATCAAGGATATGCATCATCTCCTCAACCTCATCATCAATCTCCAAGATAACGAACAATATAAGTGCTTTCTCTAGAGAATCGTCTAGATATACACTCATGTCAAGAAGTTGATCATCCATCTCCACAACAGATATCATAGAGAGCTTCTCATAGTGGCGGGGAAGTTGGATCGCCTTGTAGACATTAAAGACTGCTTCCTCACTATCCACCCTCATAATCATTTTTCCTTCTCTCACTTTAATAATTGCATCACCAATAGCAAAGAGGGGTCGTCCCAATATGATTGGAACCAGTTCATTAGCCTCATAATCTAGGATAATGAATTCCGCAGGGAAGATGAATTTCCCAATTTGTAGGAACACGGCTTCAATCACTCCCTCAGGGTGCTATGGACCTATCAGCTCGGTGCAAGATCACAGTGGTTGGTCTTGGAGCTCCCAAACCCAATTTCTTGAACATGGACAAGGGCATCAAATATATCCTCGCTCCCAAATCACAAAGAGCATGACCCACATCAATATTACCAATTTGCACAGGGATGGTGAAGCTGTTAGGATCCTTAAGTTTTTGAGGAATCGTGCTTTGGACCCTTGAAGTGCACTCCTCAGTAACTGCAACTGTCTCGAATTCAGTCACTGTCCTCTTATGAGCCACTATATCCTTTATGTACTTAGCATACTTTGGAATTTCACGAAGTACATCCACCAATGGAATATTCAATTGAACTTGGCTCAACATAGAGAGAAATTTGTTGAACATGCGATCATCATTCTTTTTCAGCAATCTCTGTGGGGGGAAAGGTGGTGGCGGCCTTGCAGCCTCTACTGGTTCTGAACTTGCTTCAACTTTTTTTGGCTCATGCGTTGCTTTAGGAATCAACTCCCCCTCAAGTATAGGCTTGTCCTTTCTCTTCTTTGGCACTTCCTCTACTTCCCTCCCAAATCTGAGGGTAACTGCATTAACTTGAGGGTTCTTCTCTATATCACTGAGAAGAGTGCCTGCAAGCCTAGTATTTTGATTCACTGTTAATTGCCTATTTCCCTTTAATATTTTTGAAATCGGTCCTGAGATGTTGATTGTCAAGCAATAACTTCTTCAACAAGTCATTCGTACTCTCTAACATTTGTTGGGGTGGCTTCTGAGGTTGATTGAAATTTTCTTGGGGCCTAAATTGATTCTGATTCTGCTGATTTCCACCCTATGAGAAGTTAGGATGATTCTTCCAATTTGGATTGTAAGTGTTCCCATATTGTGCATGCTGGTTCATCAGACCCCTGCTTTGTTGCCCCATATATTATATAGATTCAGGATTCGTGGGACATATGTCACTCATATGACTGTCACCATATAGCTTGCATCAAATAGACATTTGTTGTACATGTTGCATCTGTTGTGTTTGTTGCATTGTCATTCTATTCATATGATTTGCCAATTTTGCAATATCTGCTCTCATGGCTAAGAAGTCATCAAGTTCAATCACCCCGGCTGCTTTCTATTTAATTGCTCTTCGTGAGTCCCCATCTCTTTGCCAATTATGATCATTAGCAGTGAAGTTATTTAGCAAGAGTTGGATTTCACTGTACGGCCTTACCATGCAACCACCCCCACACGCTGAATCAAGATTCATCTTTGACGCCCCGTCTAGCCCATCAACAAAAGTGTGACCGAATACCCCATCAGTCTGACAATGATGTGGGCAGTCTCTGAGTAGCTACTTGTATCTTTCCTAAGCATGATGAAGTGTCTCCCCATCTCATTGTTGGAACCTAAGAATTTGGTTCCTCAACGACTTTGTCTTCTTAGTGGAGAAAAACATGATTAAGAATTTCCTTACTAAATCATCCCAAGTGCGGATTAATTTCGCGGGCACCTTTTGCAACCATTCCCTAGCTTCCTCAACAGTGAAAAGGGAAATAGTGTCAGCCTGACATAGTCCTTGAAAACGTTCGGATAATTGTAAGTGTCCGTAATTTCCGAGAAGTTCTGAATATGCCTCTGTAGGTCTTCATGAGATAGACCCACATATTGCCCTGTGGACTGAATCAGATGTACCATGTACTGTTTAAGGTTAAAATGCCCCATGATATCAGGCTTCACAAATAGTCTAAGTCATATTAGCAAGATTTGGCCTCGCGGCTTCTATCACCGGACACTCTTCATTACCTGACATCTCTATTGGCTATGGTTGAACTACAATGTCCAACTCTCTTTCTATTTTGGTTCTAGCTTTGACTTCCTTCCTCACTCCATGAAGTGTTCTTGTCACGACCCAATTCCCATACCCGGTCGTGATGGCGCCTCTCGTGAAGACAAGGCCAGCCAACTAGCCCAAATCCTTTCACTAACAATTCTTAAACATAAATGAATAGAAGATACAACTTAATGGCATTAGAAACTGTTAATTACTACCCGACCGGGGTGTCACAAGTCACGAGCATCTAAGGAAAACCTTAACACAACTACAGGCCAATAAATATATACAAGTAAAATTTCTGGAAAATAAAAGACAACATCCGGTGCCGCGAACGCTGGCGGTCACCTTGCTCAGCTACAATAACAATACCTTCAATCCGCTAATAACCCGCTACCGGGTGAACGATACTTGCAACTGCACGTGAGGTGCAGGGAGTAAAGTGAGTACTTCCAACTCAGTGAGTAATAAGGGTAAATAATAACTGAGAGGCAAGAAATCACGTAAGAGCACTCCATCATGCTATATAGGACAGTACAACCCTTTGAGAAAACAGTAAAACCATGAAAAATCCTTTAGAAAATATCTGGCTCAGTTAAAACCTCTTTTGAAAATATCCTTTTTCCAACAGTCAAGCAAATGAATGCATAATCAGATAGTGCAAGTCCGCACATAAGTCAGCCCCTCGGGCACAACACTCAGTTAACAAATAACACCAGGGTATCTGGTGCACGAAGTAGCATGGATGCCAATGATATGAGAGTGCTGAATGTCATGCCACGTAGTACAAACAGGAACCAATGCATGAATGCAATGCAATGCACAGGACCGCTGCGGCGTACAACCCGATCCATTTGGGTACCCGCGCTCACTGTGGGGGTTCAGACTCCGGAGGGGCTCCTACAGCACAAGCGCAATATCATCATAGTATCGTTGTGGTGTGCAGCCCGATCCATATTCAGTCCAGATCAATGCAAATGAGCCACTCGAGCAATGTCAAGTAATAGCTTTTAACTCAAAACATCAGAAAATTCAATTTATGTCTTTAAACTTTAGCAATATGACTGCACATTTCAAAACTGTGTTTAACTCAGGACTGAAGTCATTAACATGCTAAGTGTCATGAAAACAGCAATAATAATCCCTAAAGTATTCAAATAATCAGCACGAAGCCCAAAATATGGCAATCAGCCCAAATCACGATAGCATCAAGCAGGTTTTTGTCAATTACGCAGTAAAATCAACAATCAGGACGGACCAAGTCACCATCCCCAATGGTGCTCTACCCCACGCTCATACCTGGCGTGTAAGTCACCACAATACAGCACTATGATGTGCAGATCTGGGGTTTCAAACCCTCAGGATATCATTTACAAGTATTACTCACCTCGAACCAGTGAAATCTCTAGCTCGCGACGCCTTTGCCCCTCGAATCGGCCTCCATGCGCGTTGAATCTAACGAAAATCAGAGCGAATACATTACAATATGCCAAGGGAACAATACCCAATCGAAAACAGCCAAGAAATAGCAGAAATCTCGAAACTAGCAAAACCCGAACCCCGGGCCCGCTTCTCGAAAAATTACAAAATTTACATTACCGGATTCCTCGTCTCGCCACGAGTCCATACATACCAAGAACTCCCAAATCCGAGCTCAAATGACCTATCAAATCCCAATTTGAAATATCAAAAACTCAAGCCCTAGCTTTACCCCTTTTTAATGAATTCCAACCAATTTCCATGTTAAATTTAACAAAATCTCGAGTATTTAGGCCAAGGAACTTACCTCTAATCATTCCTCCTTGAATCCCTCTTCAAAATCGCCTCAAAGCTCTCAAAGCTCGCTCAAAATGGTGGAAAATACATAACCCTCGCGGATGAAATATTATAATAAAAACCCCTTTCTGAACAGTTCTTTCCGCTTTTGCGGTCCTTTTGTCGCTTCTGCGACACCGCTTTTGCGGTTACTTATCCACTTCTGCAGTTCCTCAACTTTTCCCCAAGACCGCTTCTACGGTCAACCAATCGCGTAAGCGGGTCCGCTTCTACGGTCCTCTGGTCCGCTTTTGCGGAAAAATCTCCCAGGCCCATTTTCGCTTCTGCAGGCCCCCTCTCGCTTCTGCGTGACCGCTTCTGCGGTCCATTTCCGCAGAAGCGGAAATACCAGGTACCAGATCCTTCAGTAGCCTTTAAACTCCAAATTTCATCCCGTTAACCATCCGAAACCACCCCGAGGCCCCCGGGACCTCAGCCAAAGGCACCAACATATCCCAATAGATCATACGAACACTAAAATCATCAATTCACATCGGATTAAAGCCTAAGTTCTTCAAGAACTTCCGAAATGCACTTTCGATCAAAAACCCGACCAAACGATGTCCGAATGACCTGAAAATTTGCACACATATCCAAAATCACTTAACGAAGCTACAACAACTCTCGGAATTCCATTCCGACCCCCGGATCAAATTCTCACCCATCCACCGGAATTCTCCAAAATACTAACCTCGCCAATTCAAGCCTAATTCTACACCGGGCCTCCAAAATCAATTCCGATCGCACTCCCAAGTCACAAATCATCCCCCGAAGCTAACTGAATCACCGGAAATCACATCCGAGCCTTCTAACTCATAAGTCAATGTCCGGTTGACCTTTCCAACTTAAGCCTTCCTTAAAGAGACTAAGTGTCTCATTTCCTATCCAAACCAATTCAATTCAACTATAACTCACTCGTTGCTGATAATGAAACATGAAGAAGCAGTAAATGGGGGAAACGGGGCTGTAATACATGAGATGACGGGTCGGGTCGTCACATCCTCCCCAACTTAAACCAACGCTCGTCCTCGAGCGTACCCAGAGTTGTCCTAGAAGCTAACCAACAGCTGAATAACTTTACCAAGCATATACCCGGGGTGATCTCACGTCACCCTATCTCATATAGGTCCGACAACACAATATAGCCGAAATCTCACAGTCCATTTAAACCATAAACCATAGAACCACATTGCACTTTCCGAAATCATACACAATATCAGAACCTCACATCTATACCCAGAATAAACCCGAACCAGCTGTAATAACCCATACTTGCAACCTCAGGTGAAATCATATGATATACCACATAATCCAAACACTCGAAACGGTAGCCTCTATTTACAGCAGTTGCCCATAATAACCAAATACCGATAGAAAACCTTTTATTAGCTACGGTCTTATTCCAACACTTCCATATACTGCCAACAACAAATGAAACACGCGATAAACCGTAACTCTTCCTCAGATCAACCATTCATGAAGCCACTTCCCTTTGACTAATATCACAACAGATTTCCGGGCCATACCTTGATATTATCTCTCTAACAAGCTGCAATCAATTCTGTTCGTATTCATTAATGACTCTAACGATCACCTCGAATCCAACACACCACTCTGGTGATGTGATACCTCAATACAGGCCTAAGCCACAACTTGCATAATATGCGTACCAACAAGAAACGACCTGAATATACTCAAATCATGAAAATAACTCAAACAAAAGAGCTGTACTTCAAGCTCATCAGTATCATCACAACACAAGGCTAAGACCCCGTCTCACATCATAGAAATAGAACACCTGAATCTACCCCGAAAGGTCATAACTCAACGCAGCCTCGCTACAATGCGCGATCCTATCCAAACACTGTTACACATGGAGCACCTCAAGACACTGTGATCAAAATTCGACAGCCACACACAATTTGATGTCTGAAACCAAGCCAATTCATTGCACCCACGGTGAAATAAACAACATACGACACGCCACCTGATAAGTCATAACCCACACTCCATTTACCGAGCAACATCCGATTACTCTGCCCGCTCGACTTCCACTATGAATCCCCAATAGATCTGCACCACGTGTGCCCATAACCAACAAATCATAACGCCTCACAGCACAGAAAAAGCAACTCATATATCTCCCCAGATCACTAACAAGTTCAATAACGATCGAATCCACCTATCCCTCAACAATACAACTCAACACTAACCAAGCTAACTCAAGCTAAATACGTAGTCACATTGGCCTGCCAACGAACTCAATACCAAGAAGCCTGAAGCTGCTCTTTCCACTACTATAAATCCTGCCAGAGCCGTACTATACGGTGCCCGGCACCAAATAAATACCAAAATCCGCCATCTCACCCGGCGACATGGCCGGCCACAAAAAACGCATCCGAAAAGTCACTCAATACCGAAACTGAATCAATGGTAGAAACCTCTGCACTGACATCCATCACGAATGCCCCATTAAGAAAAGCAATCCTTCTCAGCCGTCCGCTGCATCTTTTGAAATATATACCACTCTGCAAGAACATAATCCAATGCACCTTGCCGCTCAACCCGTGGCATTTCCGGCCTAGCCCGTAGCACAATAGTCTAGAATAACCCAACACTGAGACAACCAGCCTACAATCCAATATCATATCCAAAATTTGGCATACCAAGCAAAGAAAGATCCACCCGGACCTCTAATTCCCAATAACCGCAAGACGGTGCCGATACACACGATTTACAACAACTGCATAGCCTGAACACGAGAACTCCTAGTCTCCAACTCCATATAGCACACAAATCACTATACCTGATCCCAAATTGCACCATATGAATACATATCACACCTCAAGTACCCAATCATCCCACGAAAGGTATTCTAAAGTTTCCCTGTGCCATCAAACAAACTCAAATATCAACAGTCGATCCCAAATGCCGCAACACTACCAAAGTATTATCAGTTTACATCACATTGCCCTTTTACTGGAACATATACCCCCGTCGAATCACTATGGTTGGCAATACCATTTTCCTTAATCATTTGAAGATCGATTCTTTAATCACCTGCAGCTGCCCGTGC